AGAAATAGTACTAAACTAGGAAAGATGTTTTTATTAGTTTTAGTTTAGTTTAGTTTAGTTTAGTTTAGTTTAGTTTAGTTTAGTTTAGTTTAGTTTAGTTTAGTTTGTTATTTTATTTTATACCAAACCCAACTAATGTATGCTTTCCTTTTTCTTGTCCTTGCTGAGACAGTTCTGGGTGGTCTAGCTGCTGACAAAGATACAAAAATGGCATAAAATTATCATACTGGGTATATATACATATATATGTATACAGTTGGTGTATATATATATTTATATGTATATATAATATTATAGTACATTGGTACACTGGCCTGACTGAAGCTGTTCAATAGTAAGATATAAAATAAATCTTGTCAAACAGCAATGTCTTGTCACCACTCAGTATCATGATACGGAGCATTATTTCAGCTGTATTTCAGCCATTTGAAAGCAAACCTCTGGAGCCTTGAAATGGCAGATCATCGGGCTAAAGAATAACTTTTATGTTACTTTTCCAGGACTGAAATGTACTTCTTTCTGCCTGAGTCTTGCCAACTATCTCTCTACATGCTACAGGAAAACATGTGTTTTAGGGAGCCGGAAGCATAGTCTCCAACCACACAAGGCATTTACTAGGTGAAATAATTCGTGCCATACCATGAGCCAGCAGTCAGTTGTTGTCATTATGAATTTGTGGAATTTCAAAACCTAAACAATCTCATTTTCAGTAGGATTCCGTATTATGGATTGTAGAGAAGCATCAATGAGATATAAACCTAAACCCAGCACAAACTAAATAAAACGTGCTACAGCAAGGCCTGAAAGCCTAGCTAAAACTACAAGGATCCTGAAAAAGGTTTGAAGTACAGTAATGTCCTTTTGGGCTGCCAACGCAACTAAAGGGTTTTGGACAATAAATTGGACTAATTGTTGAGTTACAAAGACCTTTCTTTGAAAATCTTCTTTTCTTTTTGCATTTCTAGAGAATTTAATCCAGCCTGGCAAACTTGCTTTGTCGTGAATTGCTGTCTTTGTTTTTATAATAGCCCTCACAAAACTTTGAAACAGTGAGCGTTTGGTGAATACACGATTTTTCTTGCAGTTTATGGCTAAGGTATTTGCTGACTCATTGCGCTATCATTCTTTGCATTCAATTAACCGCAAAACCCAAGAGGCAGAAAGATTATAAACTGATCAGAATTTTTTCTGAGAACAAAAAATTTTTAGATAAAAGCTCTTGTCTGTATTGTGCCAAAGAAGGCCAAGCTCAACAGTCCAAAGCCCGCATAAGTCTGCAAGCAAATCCTTGGTCTTTGCTATCTCCCGGCAGACCGGTTTGGTGCTGAGTCATTACCCAGGAGCAGCCCTCACTCTCTCTGCTGCCTGCACACGGGCTTTCAGGTGTAATCTACGTGGACAGGATTTATAACACCAGGAGTTTAGCCTGAGTTTCCAGCCTGATGCAGAGGCTAACTCTCCAGAAAATGATCAAGCACACCTTTTTTTAATAAATGAAGAGATGAAATTTTACCCTCAAATACTGACACTGGTTTCTCATCTCCTCTCTTGCTGTTACGGCACCTCAGAGCAGAATTTGGGTGCAAATGTCACAGACTAGTGATTAGTCACATTGCTTCCTAGGCTTTTAAAATGGGGGTGGAGAAGTACATAGAAAAGAGTTTATTCCTTTGTTGCTTGTATTTATTGTTGGTTTGTAGGTAGAAGTAGTTTGACTTCATCATCCAAAAAGATACTTGGGCAAGTTGCCCTATTTGTGACAGATTAGACTTCCTACAGCGTGCTTATCAAAACTCCTTGGGGCCTCAGACTAACTGTGATACATTTATTTGGCACTTAACAGTGATGTATTTATTGTCATTATTAGTCACCCATACATTTGGAAACTTTTACAGTACATGTCTCTACATTGCATTTTAACTGAAATATGAAAACACTGTGGGATTTCCCTGTCATGCCTCTTATTTCAAATGTTTTATTCCACAAACACAAAGAGAAGGGTAGATCATCTCTGACTTATGCTGACCCAGTTCTCCACCTTTCTTGCCTGCTACACACCAATATCAGTAGAGTTACAGTGACATAAACCAGAAGAAAACAGTCAAAAATCAGATTCTTCATACACCAAATCACTTTCCACATCTGTTTCCTATTTGTCTTATAATGACACATGGGAATATTTTGGGAATATATTCTGCTTTAACTGTCATGCCACCGACTTTATAGCCTTATCAAATATCCATTGGTGTACTGGTTGGGCAATTGTCATCTACTAATAAGAAATCCCAAGAAAACATAGATTGATAATAATATTTTTCATTAATGGCTTGTAGCATTAGTGCCATTTTCTATTATTTAGATGAGGTCTAGCATTCTCCTCAATTTACTGCTTTTATTAATTGTGTAAGATCTAGATACAGCAGACTTTCAAAAACAGGTTTTTTTCATTATTTATTCATTTCTAGATAAAAGCAAGGAATGTGTCTGGACTATTAAGAAATAGAAAGAAAGGGAAGGTGAAAGAAAGATTTAATACTATGCAAGATATTACAGATACAGGATGACCGTATAAACATAATCAGGCCGACTACATCTACAAGAACATGCCTTAGGAGATTGAACTTGAATTCTGGGTTCAAACTTCACGAAGTTGGGTCCAAATTTTTATCTGTCAGTGCAGTAAGCCCCTCCAGATAGACTATCATGCTAACAGTTCATTTTCCTTTCACCTTTTTCTCCAGTAAATGGAGTGAAATGTAAAAACTTTCTGATGTTCCTTTGAAAATACGTAATACACTCACACAGTGCTTGCATGATGTAATTAAACAAGCTTGTAATAAAAATTATAGCCTGTGACTCACGGAATCATGGACTCAATAGGTTTAAAATAATACCATTTGGAAGTATGTTTGATCACTGGCCTGGACCATGCCTGGATTCAGTATGGATGAGCAGGATGGGGAAGGCAGAGTGCCAGGGAAAGCGCTGCTTCCAAATCCTTCAATTCACTTCTCGTGAGAAGGACATCAGCTATTTGTCTGAACGATCTTCACATTAAATAAACATTACCAAAGCAATTGCTGGATAAAATTCGTGTTGTTGATATTTTTTTGCATCCTCCACAGCAGTGTGGAGTGCCAAGTCTCCAGCACTGAGCACCGGAGCGTTACCCTTGAGGTTGAAAGTATTGTGCACAATTTTGAGATTTTACTTGCATGTACAAAACAATGTAAGACTGGAATTTACATGCTAATGTAGCTTTCATGAAGTTCTAGCCTCAGACTAAGTCTGGAGAAGTGAAGCTGAAGGGACAGCTCAGGAATTACCTGTAACTGCCTGAAGGGTAGTTACAAAAACGAAAAACCCACACTCTTTGCCATCATGGGAGATGATATAGTAAGGACCAAAACCATAAGTTCTTTCTCAGAAAGTTCAGTTTAGAAAAAAAAAAAAGCTTCACTAAGAGGACAGTGGAAGTTGCCCAGACAAGTTATTGAGTTTCCGTTCCTTGAGGGTTTCATGACTTGACAAGACAAAACCAAAACTGACCATACCCAGTGTTGACAACAGTCTTCTTTCAAGTCCTTCTGGACTTAACAATATCCAGAGAGCCCTTCCAGCCTCTCTGATTCTGTCTTTGGAAAGGGATGACAAGAATAAGAAAGGGGTGATTTCTTAGTCTGTGAAAGCAGTAAGTGCTGTAGGGACTTGAGAATCAAGGTAAAGAGCTGATTTGTTATGAAATAAATAGGAAAAAAATAACTGTATCATCTTCTTAGTTGCTTTGTACTGTCAATACATACATTAGACATATTCTGAAGTTATTTTTTTGTTTATTTTCCTAAAACAGATGAGTGATACCTGATCAGTCAATATGAAAAAAGGAGGCTATATCAAGCTGTGGTTGTTATTACAGCCCAAGCTACTTGGTCCTGCAAATATTGGTTACAGGAAGTCCTCCAGCATGTACCTCATAGAGAACTTTCAGCTAAAAGCAACAGAGAATTGTGTGCAGAGGCCTAAATAACGAGAGAAACTGTTGGGGGATAGAGCTTGTTCCAGCTTGGGAGGTCCTTGACTTAATACAGCGTCAGTGTAAATTAACACAATGCAATGCAAATTAACCACAGTGCAGGTGGGAAATGGAAATTTTAGTTTTCAGTGTGGTCTTCACAAGTCTTCTGTGAATGTAGAAGTCTACTGCGCAAAAAGCATCTATTCTGCTTTTACCCTCAGTGCAAAACATAAGATAAAGACAGTATTCAAATTGATTGGCAGATTTGGTCCACCAGTTAAAATTAAAGTAATTAAATGTACTGAAAATCCCATTGCTTTGGATTTACTGACCTTAATTTGACTTAGTGTTGACTGAGGCCCTTTTTAATCTTGATTTATATTCCCATATGCTTTGCCCTCAGCTTGTATATTTAAAAGTTTTGTTGCATATTACTGAAAAATATTAATAAAAAAAAAAGCTCTTGTGATGAAGTTAAAATTAAATTTGAGGATACATGAAACAGTAAGTCAGTAAATATTCAGGTTAGGAAAAACAGAATTTAGCATTGTATTATGTACTAATCTACACTTGCAAGATATTTCAGAAAAGTATAGTCAGTGAAAAACAGGTTTTATCTCCTTTCAGAAAAGAGCTTCAAATTCCAGCTTCATCAGTTACTATTACTCAGTTATATTCTCAGTGAAAGCAAAAAGAATTTAATGAAAGTTTAATGAAATGTAATGAAATATAATGAAATTATAGTGAAGTGGAATAGATGAGACACAAGCTGTGCATGTGCATTTGTGCTTTTGACTAGCCTTCAGCACAATACTGATTAGAAGGTGGGCACTTTTGCCAGATCCTCACCTAGTGTAATTTGACTTTCCTGGAACCACAACACCCAGTGTGATTCACGCATACTGCACTCTGTTTAGTTCAAATTATTTTCAGTGTTCTTTTGTTATATAATGTTGCTTTTCCTTCCTTTTTTTCTACCCCACAGGACAACATTTTTAGAATGGAAGATTCATATTTTGAAAATGGCCGAGGGAAAAGCCCTTATGATCCTAAACTGCTCACAGCTTCTCTTTTAGTAGGTAGGTGCCACAATACAAGTTCAATGAGACGTGCATTCACTGTAAATAATTGTCAGGTTTCTGCTTCTCTTTTTTCTCCTTGCAGCACCTACGATGGGGCTTTGTTTTATGCATTTTATTTCCAGGCTAAAGTCATTCTGGTTTCATTTTTAATATAATTGTCCCAGCTGTCTTGAGAAACAAGGTGTGTGTAAGCCAAGATTCAGGTAACACAAGAACCGCTTTATACCTCTGTAAGATCTTGATTCTGCAAAGTGTTTCTCATCCTCAGAGCTAAGTGCTCTGCAGGTATTTTAATCAACCAGTTCACAGTCTGGCCACACTGACAGTTGCACCAGCACAACTGAGAGCAAAGTGAGAGCAGGAATAAATTATTTCTTGCATCAGTTTTGCTGCCAAGGAGGGTCTATCACCCAACTATACCTACATGTGAGCTGGAGATACACAAGCAGCCACAGGTCTAGGCCTTAAGATGATGTTTCAGCTGAGATGTATCTGACAGTGAATACAATTAAACTTCTGGCCAGGACAGAGGGATTTCAATAAATTAGGAATTTCTGAATTAGTAATACCTCATTTCATGGACTATGTAAGTATAGAGCACCTGGACTGTGTTAATCTAATTGAACTAATCCAATTGATTGAATTTATCTAATTGGTTTAACTTACCTAATTGAATTGTGTTCATTGTTCTTCTTTCTCCTTTACAAAAAAAGGCAAAAAGATGTTTTGTGAGAAGAAATTAAGGGTGAAAGAAATAGATTCTTCTTTGCTAATGATTCTGCCTAGGTGTAGCCACTTTATCCTTAAGGTGTAACTTTCTGTCATTTTATTACCACTTCAAGTCCAACAGGGCAACAATAGCTTCAGGAAATCGAAGATTCTCTTATCTCAGAAGTCCCTGGGAAATGACACATAACCAAATACATTAGTTTCTCCAGGTCTTTGTCCATATCACTAGTCTAGGGCCTGGCCTACCATCTACTCTTACTATATTTACATTACATTTTAAAATTAAGCTATTCAAAATAGACAGGGACAAAACTTTAGTCTTGTGTGCCTCATTTCCCAGTCTCCGAAGCCCCTAATGATCACAGGTGATGAGCAACCCTGGGGACATGCACTTTCTAACAGGAAAAACAGGAAAGACATATCTTGCTCCAACTTGTACCCTGTACAAACAGAAAGGAAAAAAATGTGTGTGTGAAAGGCCAGTGTATAAATTAGTGCCTGGAGCGACTTGAATTTGTGGCAGAGCTACTCTTAAGGGAATAGCTTTACTATTTACTTTAATATACAATAAAGAAAGAGAATGATGACAAGCCAGTATTACATGGTATACCCGGTATGCAACTGCACAAAGTCAACAGCGTCTAGCTTTTCACATTCTTTTTTTTTTTTCTTTTATTTTATTTTTTTTTTCACTCAGTCCGGCACAAATATGATTATCTTATTTCCCTTGGCTTAGATTTCATGTCTTTAAAACATCTTTGCTTTCTTGAGCCCACTTCCTATCACTATAATTTTCACTCCATGTATTTTTCCTCGTAATAAACATTAGACTGAGTATGATATTTTGTTTTGAATCAGGCTTCAATTAGAGTCATGAGTGTATTAGCACTATAGAAAATGGCACAAATTCAACATTCAAAGCCAGTGACTAATTTCTACTTCAGTGACTTATACAAAATTCAGGGTGAAGCTAAAATTAACATTCCCACATCCTGAATATGAACACAGTTTCTTCTCTGCCTCCTCATAGCTGCCTCACGGTCATATTGTGTTACTGACTATAATACTTCAGTCCTTTACTGCAAAGGCTCCCCTGATATTTCAGAAAGTGTACACCAGATTCACCACAGGGCCGCAGTGTCTTACTCTTATCTTTGTTGAAAAAGCATAAATTTTATGGTAAAATGATGACCCATGGCAAACTAATTTCCTCCCCCAAAAATAGGTGAGGAACAGGGAATGAACTGGCCAATCAATGACTGCATGGAGAGGTTTGGTCCAACTGCTCTCTGAAGTAGGTAGCACTGGATGAAGCATGAATAGGGACATGAAAGTCTCTTGACCACAAATGCCTCACAAGAAGAACACGGATGGACTGCTTCTTCCCTTCTCCTGAGATGAATGAACTCAGCTATTCCTGGCCCCTCATGTGCCAGAAGTATTTGTCCTCATAAGCAACCATGGTTTATCTCAGGTTCAAGAGGGCAACTCTGTAAAACAATTAGCCAGCGCTCATTAAAAGGCGGTGTTATAATTAGTAACATAATGTAACTATCAGGAAGATAAAAGAAGGCTGAGAAGTGCGACTAATTTATATGGTTAAATTCATAAGGGGAAAATAACCTTTGTTCTTCATCACAAACACCAAACAGAGACTTTGCAAAGTGTGGAAGAAGGGTATGTTCTTGACTCCATAACTAGAAGGTAAATCTTAGGGAAGTGAAATGTAATTACCCAAGATGGAATTTGGGCAAAACACCAAGGTTAATTTGCAAAAAGTAACTTAATATCTTTAATAGCCATTATTGCTCAGGATTCCTATTTTATATTTCAGCTGAAATAAACTTCTATAAGTATGAAAATGATCTTAAGTTTTCCCTCTCTCCTAAAGAAATGGAAATCAATAATATTTGAAAAAAAATCCAAACCAAAACAAACAGTTCATCGTTATTAAATTTTTCTAATATATTTCCAGTATACATTCCTTGTTCCATCCACCTGCAAACATTTTTCATTATTTTTTAAAGAGTTGTTCATTAAAGGTTGTTATTGCTACCCTACTCTAAAGTAATCGCCAGCTGGGAATATGATATAACTAGTTCTTAATAATGTAAGACATTATTCAGATATTCCCATCTATATGCTGATAACTAAACAATCTCCATTTGAGTGGACAAATGCATGAAAAAGTAGAGACTAAGCAGTTCCTGGGCACCACTCGTGTGTATTCCAGGGCAGGAGGGAAATGAGAGACAGCATGGTTTTCAAATAATGTAGTCACTGGAGAAAATATCACTTAATGTATTAGTCTAAAGCAATTGTATTGGGAATAGATGAAAAAAAAAATACAAACAACCTCAGAGGAGACAGTATTGCCCCATTTTCAGTTTGTTGCTCTTTAGGAAATCACCCTTTGGGATTTTCAAAAGCTCAAATGATCCAGAATCCTCAAAGACATTTTTGTTCCCGTGTCTCACTGATTATTTAAAAAAAAAAACCCTAAAAACTTTTTTAAAAAAAATTAGGTGCCTTAATACTCCCAAATATGTATCAATGTGATTTGAAATACAGTGGCTTCTTACCAAGGAAGAACTTTATTTTCTTGATTATTAGAAATTAGCTACTAAGTACATATGAGTTTCAGCAGTTTAGAGTTACCATACTTTCTGCGATGTTTTAGTGAAGTATGGAGTGAAGTCAAAGCAATAACATGTATGTCTGAAAATCTTAAATTTAGTGAATAAACCTACTAAACAAGGATAGCAGATTTCACTTGGGAAGCCTTTTACCAATTGAGATAGTCAAGGCTTGTGTTTGCTTATGTTCCCTATCCATTGAACTTTCTTATTTCTTTCAAAAAGGAAGCTTACTCTTCTGTACTCTCAAAAATATTTTTTTATTAAGAAAGCAATCTTTTTAAAAAGCTGAATAAAACCAATTAATTAAATAAATGTATACTGCTTATTTTTTAACATCTTTGTATCTAATTAACTTGTAGAGGTCCTCACAGTTCCATGCTGCCTATGTACGGCACGCAGGAAAATGGGTCCTCCCAAAAAAATCCAATTACTGTGAACTTTAATTGTTGTCTCTTTATTTAGTTAAGTCAATATATGTTTTTCTGTTTGCATTCATATGTCAACATGCCACTCCTTTAGGATAAAATGCTTTCTCTCCAATACATAGAGCTTTTTCCTATGCAAACTGAAGGCCATCAGCTTGTTCTGGACAGTTGTTGCTTTATGCTGCTGAGCTGGAAATACAAAGTGGAATTTTTTTTTTTTCTTTTTTCCTTCATTCTTTCCCATTCAAAAATGTTTGTCAGTTTTCAAACTCTTCATTTCCACTTTCTTCTTAAAGTTAGTGAAAACTGATTTTAAAACTACTGACAGTGGAAATAGCACAATGACATAAGAGAATAATTTTCTAGACTAGCAGTGAGTAAATTTCAGTCCAAAAGAAGGGCTGCAAAGGGAAACAAAGATTAATGTACATCTATCTAGACAGTATACAAACCCCTCATATAGCTTTTGAATAGTACTAACTCGAAGGATGTACACATCTGGATGAAATGCTGGGGTTTCAACCCTGAGCCCCAAATTAAGGCTGACATCTGGGTGATTTCCACAGCCCTTCCCAAAGGGGGTGAGTTTGCCTTTAGTCTTCCCTCCAGGGAGCGGCCGTCCTGGCAGGGAGAGCCATGAGGTAAAGGAGCCCCAGGTGTCTGCATTAAGTAAGCAAAGGTCAGGTGTCCCACTTGGGGATAAAAGCTGGGACCACTGGCAGGAGGGGCAGTGTCTGTGTGTGAGGTGGAGGCACTGTGCAGAGTTCCCTGTTGGGGAAGGACCTCCTGCTTCCCTGGGACTGGGCTCCAGTCAGGTATGGCCTTTGTAAACGTGGGCTGTGTAGAGATTCAGTGTGTGGCTTCATTGGTCTTATGTGTTTGGTCTGTTGACTTGGTTGTCTCCTGTCCCTTCTGTGGGAGACTGCATTTCACCATTTATTCCACCCATTGTTAGTCGTGTGGTGTTGTTGTTGGGGTCAGTGGGATTGATGTCAGTTATGTATAACCTGACTGACTTGTTTGTACCTCCAGTGCTCACCAATGTACTGACCCTTTTGTATCAAACATGATTTGGTTATTGGTTCATCTTTTATGCTGGCTGTGTCCTTTATGCTAGGCTAGGCCTGATAACTGGCAAAACACTAGGACATGACTTAGGGCTCACCCTGAAGTTACCAAAAATTATCTAAAGCCTTACAAAAATAAATGGTCTTCCTTGGTATTTCTATCTGGGAGAAGTCAAAATCCCCTTTTTTTCATGAGTACAGCAAATCATTTCAAACTGCAGGCACTGGTCTAGGTATGCTGAAACTTGGAGATGTTATAGTAGAAAGCACAGTCAGCTAGTTTCCTAGGGACCCTTCCCCCTTTGGAACATGCTGAAGCCCATCGGCAAAACTTTTACTCTGTCACCACTGATGAAAATGTACCAGCCCTAAGAGCCTGGTGGCATGAAAAAGTCTTGGGCTGAACTGAGACAAACCTGGAAGATATATTACTTTCAGTGGTGTTTATATATTGAATTAGAAGCTCAGGTGCTAAAGAACCTTACAATTTTACATATTGCAATATCTAATTTTAATGAGGTTTTGAGCTATGTTTCATTTAATAAATATAATTTTTTTTTCTTGATTGATTGACCTTTAGATCTGTTGATAACAAGGAAGCAATAGGGCTTGTTGGTTGATTCTTTTCCCCTCTGTTTTATATTGATTTATCAGAACTCACTAGGGACTGAAAGATGAGAAAATGGAGATAAGGTTAAAGAAAGGTTAAGCGTAGCATCAAAGCCCTTTTCACAAGCAAAAAGATTTTATGTTCTTTAAAATCTCAGCTGCATACCCTGTACATAATAATCACTATAATTAAGTGATTGTCTCCCGCTTAAAAGAAGTTGAAAATGACATAGAGGAATGATAAATCATTAATTAATGATATGCTTTTCTGTTTCACTTCTGATTACACCTCCTGCTGGGCACTACTGGTCTATTTGCTTCTAATCTCTGCTGTGAATTCATTCAATTCCACGCCTTACCGCTATCATGTTTTCACCCTTCCTGACTTTCATGACTACCATATGGTACAGAGCCACTGTAGGGGCAGTTGATAATTTTTCGTGGTGTCAGTGTTCTGCAGAAAAGATGCAGTGATATCTAATAGGCATGCTTGGATCTGGTTGTCCCACCATGGAAATACCTAAAATTGCCATGAAAATTATAAACTTGTTCCTAAAGAGTGTTTTAACATGAGGATATGGTACCTTATTACCTATATTACCTTAGCTTAAAGATAGAGTTATTTTATCCTCACAGTTGTCTTTTTCACAGGACCCATTTAAGATTGTAATTGGAAGGAATAATACCCTTTAGTTCCTTACTAAAAGTTCCTTAGTTCCTTATTAAAAGTATAGGGTAGAGTATCTCATTTCACATACGAAAGGTCACAGTCCTGTAAACTGCATTTTTATCATTTTCAGTTCAGAGTAATTTCATGGACAAGCTCTACGTTAATGCCAGAAAGACATGTGTTGTGCATGGATCCCTGGATGTTTTCTCTGGATCTGATTATTATGTACTTATTATTATTATTATTATTCTGTCTACCAGTCGGCAGGTATTTAACTTGACCTGGTCCTTGGAATTTAGACTGTCTCTCTCTCTGTCTCTTCCATGATACTTCTAACTGGCTGAGATGGGGCACACTGGGACTTTAATACTATAAGTTTCATCTCCAGCTATGCTATGTATGTGCCACTTAGGGGCTGAAGTATCACAGGTCAATTTTTAATTCACTTGTTCACTGTGATATGCTTCAGGTTGAAGTAGCAGGAAATTATCTCACTTATTCTCTCCCTTAGCTGTTGCCCTTTGCCAGTATCACAGTTGCAAAGGTGGCTGAAGGAGAAAGGCATGTTCTGTCTTTCCTGTAGAAGATAGAAAAGATGTTTTCTGAGGATCTGCTTGCTCAGAGGGAAAAAAAAAAAGAATGAAAAAAAACTAGCCAACCAAAGCAAAAGGCAGTTTCTATATTAAAAATTGAAGGGTCTTGAGTACTTTCTGAACCAAGAGCAAATGAGCTGGACTCTTTAATTCCCAACACAGAGTCACAGAACCCCAGGATGATGAGAGAAACCTCTGGATGTGTCCGGTCCAAACTCCTATTCAAACCAGGGTAACTTCACAGTTAGGTAGGTTTTTGGGGGTACTGCCTGCCAGGGATAGGTGTACGAACTGTCCCAGTTCCAACCTAAGAATCCAAACATATTTTTGAAAAGCGGCTGCACTAGCAGTTGGGAGATACAGCTCATTTGAGAGAGATTACAGTTAAGCTTTGCAGTGGGGAAGTGGGTCTAATCATATCTTTTCAATGACAATACATTGCATATGCTTATTGCTTTGTAATTTTCTCAGTATCCCTATTAGTGTAATATAAACATAGGACTGACAGCTTTCTCTGACTTACCATGACTGGAAAATTGAAAAATGTTGCTTACAATTACATCCTCCCACAGATGGAGAACTGTACTCTGGCACAGCAGCAGACTTCATGGGCAGGGACTTTGCCATTTTCCGAACTCTGGGGCATCATCATCCAATCAGAACAGAGCAGCATGACTCCCGGTGGCTAAATGGTATGTAAAATGTACATTTATCTGGTTACATTCATCTAGCCATTAAAAACCAGCACACAGATTCGTTCCAGCAACATCTGTGACATATACACCCCTCTTTTATGGAGCAGAATTTTGTCTTAAAGCAGCTAAACTAATGAAAAGTGATTTATAAAGAAGCATTTTTGTTTTAATTACATTGAGATTTGTGGAGTGTGATTAAATTTAAAACATATACAGACACTACGGCTAACACGATCGTGTCACAGGAGCAGATTGCTGTAGAGTGCAAGTTGGACAGAAGCTTGAGGCTTGTGGAGGCATCAGCCACACGTCAACACAAAGTAGCTACAGAGCCTTGGGCAGGACTGTGCCTTGTTCAGGCTTTAATTTTCACTAGATTGAAAAGAATCTGACACTGGCCACCAAAGTCCAACAGGCAGTGAATCAGCAGAGCTTCTAGAGCTGGTCAGAGTCGTCAATAGTTTGGAAAAATTGAGAGGGGTCCTGGGCATTCCCAACTGTTGGGTTTCAAAATATTCAATAGTTTAACAAGGCACAATAGCTTACATTATTGTATGGATATTACTAATCAGGCCCGTAGTTGTTTGTTTGTGTGTATAGGGAGAGAGGGGTCGTTTCAGAGAAAATCTGGTTTTGGCTTCATGTACCAAAATTCTTTAAAATGCATCTGAGTACTCTATCCAAGTTCTACTGAAGTCAAAATTCTAATAGCTTAAATGGAATTACACTTGGCGTTAGTTATGCAGGGATATGAGCATTCCGGAAATGAGAATTCATCATTTGAAAAAGCTGACAGTTGATTTAAGTGAGCCAGTAATACTAACTGCAGTTACTCTTGAGTTAATTTATATTTTAATTTTCGAAGAGTTAACTAGCCACTGTTGCTGTACACACTGCCTGCATCTGCACTCCTGTTTTTGAATTCACAAAGTATTTTGTTAGATATTTTTCACTCCTAGCACATTATTTATGTCTCTGCTGAGGTCCAGATTTTCTTATGTGGTTTTGCAATTTAGTGCAAACTGTTGACACAAATTTTTTATGTGTAAGAGGAGACTAGATTTTAACAGCACAGTTTTTTATTAGCTACAGTCAGGAACTTCTGGTATCATACTGGTTATCATATTAGCTGTATATACAATCTGTAACAAAACCAACCCCTGACTCATAATTAAAACCACAAAGCGGTATTGCAGGTTGGATACACAACTCTATGTATGACGTATGCATTGGATACATGTATCAAATAAATGTGTATTTGACGAGTTCTATGTATTTTAATACGACAAGTTGTATGAATCCAATTTTTGTCCTGTTAAATTTAGTTTTGTCGTAATTCATGTGGACTACTGTGAGTACAGATTCAGCTCTATCCCATTTTCGTTCTACAGTCCATGCTTGCCCGGTAACCCAGGAATATTGTTCATTGGGTTACTTTATTATAATAACAGACAAGATTTCTGGACTTCAGGAGACAGTAAAGTACAAGGGTTATAGACATATCCATCTATCTTGGTACCTGGTAGAGTAATAATATTTTAAAGATAACACAACACCCACTTTTATTCTGATAGTCGTAATGACATAAAGTCTGATCACGCAAGCAAAATCTAATTGTGTGTGGTAGATTTGCACAATGACAGCAGAATCAGGAGGATTTATGCAGTGGGAAAGCATGGGCATTGTCCACAGTCCCTGTACTTCATCGCTGAAAACGTGTCATTCCTTTGTGGATTCAGTTATCAGTCTTTCAGCACTAAATGTGAGAACTGCTTTTCCCAAATTAGCACTAAGGTTACATCTGACAGGGTGAAGAAACTACAACTGCTTTGTGCTGAAGATGGAGAGGAGAAGATAGTTGCACACAAAGAGCTGATGAACCTCAAGCTCTCTAGAATTTAAGCATTGTCCAAAATGAGCATAAAGGTAGAAAGGCAGTATTTATCATAGCACAGGGTAAAGACAATTTTCAACTCTTAAGTCTAATTCTTACACTATATTCCTGTAGCTAATTTGAAAAAAAAAAAAAAAAGTATCAAATTGAGTCCTTTCAAAATTCACATAACTGTCTATAATTTAATAGAGAATGATCCTTAAGTACATTTTAAAAATCTATCTATTTCTCCATTGTAAATAAATAAATTCAGCTTCCTAGTATGGAAAGGTTGGCTTAAAATCTGCACAATGTTCCTATTAAAGACTCTATGACTTTACTGTTAATTTCACAGTGATAAGATCCTGGAAGCCTTTCCACACAGTACTCCTAATTTCAGCATCTAACAGGGAAATCCAAACATTACAACTCTTTGGGTTTGAAACTCTGCAGGCATGCCAGTCTTTTCTTATTTTTTGTCTTTTTTTTTTTTCTCTTGTCATTTGTCTATTTTAATATAAAAGAAGCTTTGTGCTTGCACATATTTAAAGTACATATACTTTTAATGAAACAAGCTTTCATTGAAGGATGAGGTGTACTCTGCTTTCTTAAAGCTCTGTATAAACTGATTTTGAACCTTAAGTCTGCAGGTCTTTATACATATTTTAGTAAAGACATGGATTACTATGTAGTGGTGAGTTTGCTTTCCTAGTTGCTTTCTGCAGTGTGCTTAGCCTCAGGTTAAAAACCACTATTCTAATGGACTGAAAGGTGGATAAAATCAGCAGTTCACAAAGAAATCCTCATCTCTGTAGAGTTTAATAACTAGGAGGTGAGACATCCAGTTGAACATCCTTCTAATGTTAACTTCATTCAGAGCAGGAGCTTGAAACTGCTTTTCCCATACTAAGGCTAAGATCAGAGATGACAAGGTGCAGAAAACACAGCTGTTTGGTACCAAAAATGAAGAGGAGAAGACACTTGCACGTGAAGAACTTGCAAACTTTTCCCAGAGTTTAAATATCATCCTGAACTGTCATAAAAGTAGGACAGCATTGCACAGAGCAATTAAGTTCTTTGGATTTCAGTATGAACACAGAGTTCCTACAGAATCACACACTGGAGATGCTCCACCTTCTATAAGAAGTTAAATGTTGCTGGGAAGAAGGCTTTGAACTGTGCCCAGCCCAAGGGAAGGTGCTGATGAGCAGCTCTTAAAGACTTTTTAAGTCTTTTAAAGATATTATATACTCACAGGCTTCTAAACACATTTCGTTTTGTATAAATAATTAAACAGTCATCAGGCCAAATAAAGCAAGGGAGACTGATTCTATAGCTGTGTAGTTGGGGCATTCATCTAGAAGGTAGGGAACCATACATCAGTCACTGTAGCAGTGTATATTTAATTATTGATATAGAGTTGGCCAGATATGACATGGAGGCATTTGCAAAAACACAGTAAAATGAGTTGGTGCTCAGGGAAGTTATCCTGGTATGAAAAGCTGCAGTTCAGTGCCCCAGACTGAATCATGTACTTTTTTATAAGCCATGTATATACTCACTCTGGACATTATTGGCTCCTCTGGTAAGCGCATGGACTTCCTCTGCACAAAAAGCTTTGACAGTCTTAGTTGGTCCCAGTGAGGGTCAAGAATAGTTTCGAACTCTCAGGAAAAAAAATCCTGAAATTGAAAAAACATCTCTCGTTCAGCTTTACTATACTATAAGGAGCAATGGCTTTGATGTTACACAGATATCTTGCTTATAGGCAAACCCCATGTTTTCCTTTAAATGTGCCATTGCCTCTTATAGTTCAGAGACATCAGAAGCTAGTGTTATTTCAACAAAGTGTATGTAGGGTCCTGCTTCAGTGATAAAAAAAGAAGGGTAGGAGTCCTGAGCAGGTTGGAGCAGCTTACCTTGGTACCAGGTTGTTCCCTGGTGAACTACACACAGCGTTTGCTGTACACCATCTGCAGCAGCATTCGTGGAAGGGCTGAGGGCACGGCTGGAGGCAAGAAGGCAGAAATGACAGTGCGGTGTACCAAAGCGAATGCTAAGCAATGCAAAAGCAATGTACTGAAGGAAGTTTTTGAGCTGAAGATTAGGGGGGTGGAAAGAAAGTGTGGAGCCACTCTCATCTTCCCTGACTTGAGCACAGTGGATCTGGCCTTAACTTGTTAACATTTTGTAAAATTACTAACCATAAACATGTATTTTAAAAGCAGAGCAGTTAGGCTGTGGAAGATTCAAAAGGAAATGAAATCACAAAAGCTGCATTAAGATAGTCTGAATCTGGTTTGCACCCCAGAAAAGTGAGAGAATACTGGTGTTGCTCTCCCTCTTTATTAGACCTGGGGTTAAGAGAGACTGTCAGTCTGGATTTCCAGCCTTGACTTGGAATTTCCTTGCTTTTTATGGGTTTTAACCAGCTCTATGATATTATTTTAGCATACTTTCCATGGCTTAATTTTTAAAGTGGGGAAGTAGCTGTGCTTAGTCCCCTGGGGTTATTGTCCTTGGTAATCTTTACTTTACGGTTACATAAACAGCTGAGAATTATAGAAGCTGAGCGACTGTTCAATAAAAAAGAAAATGCCCTCTTAAATTTCACAGGCTCTAAGGCAGGAAACATGGACTTGATACTCTCCTGGCATTCATACAGAACTTTAGCCATTGCTTTATGTTGTTTCCGCTTATGGCAGTTTGTTGGATGTCCCAGCACTGGCAACATATTCGCATAATTTTGACTATATATGTCTTTCACAGTAGAGGAATGTATGGCAACAGAAAGACAAGACTGGAGCTAGTTTCTAGGTTTTTTGCCTTTCTAATAAAATGTATTAAATGTGTCAAGATTTTTAGAAATTAATATATGTTTTCTTGCAACTACTTTTGCTTGGACTTGGATGTGTTAATTTGCTGCATCCTTGAATCTATAATTTGTCTTTCATCACCCACACCAAACACTTTTCCCACCTACAGATGCCATACCATATACTATACCCACAGACACCCCACTCTTCTGTGCCACTCCCTTGTCCCTCAGTGCCTTCCTAGTTTCCCACTTTCCATCTCACCTCCTACACATTCCCAATCCGGATATATAGAAGGCACTAAAAGG